TGAAAACTTGAAGGGTGGCCAAAACTGAAATTGCATGTTATCAAGTGACATAATCTAAATTGAGTGCTACAAGAGATTTCAATTTGCTTCATCAAAACACTATTAATAAGAATGATGGAAATTCAAAGTTGCCAAAAGACTATTACATCTAATTCAAAGTGCGCATTCTGATGTAATAGTATTGCATTGATACTCTTGTTTCCGTATCTGCTGATTTTACATCAGAATGCGCACTACAGCTAGACCAACAGCAGATTTGGAAACAAGAGTACCAATGCAATACTTTATGACATCGTATTTTGCTGCCTCTAACTGTGCCCTTAATGCATGGATTTCCTAGAAAATTTACAAAGATAAACCAAATTTAGACATACTAAACTGAAAACTACATACAGAATTATCAGCAATTTTTTTTCTCCTTGATCTCGGAAACTTACCCTGTCGAGTTTGGTAGTAAGTTTTGTGGTTTCTGCACTTTGTTTGGCTAACTCGTCACGTATGCGCCTAAACAATTAGAAAAAAGAAGTTAAAAGTAAAGCTACTACATTCGTCCAGTACAGCACATGAAAAATGAAAAGCTCCTTGCAATAAGCACACACATAATCATTGATCAATGCTACTGATGGTAGTCCTATTTGTTTGTTCCAGGCATAACAAAGGTGATAAAAAATGAACAACGTCAAATGAAACATTGGATCAACATTAGCACAGTGATCTAGCAACACTCAGACTGGAACGTCTTGATGATAAGTCAGAATTCAAATCAACATGAACTCTTGTTTTTTGTTACCTACAACAATCTAGTGGATTGTCTGTAAAAGTCAGATTTAGCACCAAGTTTAACTATTTTCTTATGCAATCAAGATCTCTTCATCTGAACTAGCATGGTTAACCTAGTTGTTAAATTAAAAAGGTGCATTTTCTGTAACAAATATGGACAATAATTCAGCCTGAGATATCACCACATATTCCATTATCAAATAGACATTAACATCCCTTACCCTCTCTCGAGGTTTAGATCCAAGCGCTGCCCAGCAGTTACCTTGTCAATTTCATATCTGTTTAAGACAGTGAGTTTAAATTAAAGAAAGAAGTATTAATCTGGATATAATTGGCTTACTAATCTGTTATATGCTTCAATGCAAACCAGACCTAAGTTCACTACGCATTTTATCGATATCAACTCGAAGTTTTTCAGTCTCTCGTTGTAGCAATGCAAAGTGATGATCCTGCAATCATATAAGTTTAAAAAAAAGAGAGTATATAGAGTAGAATCTGAACAGAGTGCCTAATGAACTGTAAATTGACAAACTTGTTACCCTCATGTAGTATTATAATAGATAAATCAGCTATCAGTTGATACATCACAAGACTGACTAACATGTTCACAATCCAACTGAGATGTACCTTTACTGAATGATATTAATTCCATGCTTTGATGACCAAGCTTGTTGAAACTGCTAATTTCAAATATGGCATGAAAAAGTTCAACATGTTCACAAATACTTTAGGGTGTCTTCATCAAAAAATTCTGAAAAGTTCCTTTTGGAAGAATATTTATGGAAATATGTCTAATCATAAAAAGTCTGTTAACTTCAAAGTGATTATCTGATCAAATAAATGTTTGGTAAAACAACTTCTTAACAAATATCGGTAGCAGCAAAGCTACTGACATTGGTGGAAATGGTAGTGGAAAAAATACGCACTAATTGTTCAATTTTTTCAAGCTAGAAAAGTATCAGTTCTGGAAGTCTGCCATAAGTTTTCATGCATTATGCGTCACTTCATAAAATTGCAGCACAACAAAAACAATGCTAGAAACACTTGTGGGTGCAATATTAGCTATACTAACCAAAAAGATGCTTGTTGATGCTACCACACAGACTTGTGATCAAATCTATCCAAACTAAATTGATAACTTAAACATAGGTTGAAGTTTCTAGACTCATTTTAAACTATTCTCACAGTGGATGTACCGAAAATTCATGCGCAGTTTGTCAATTCACAATAGAAATAACTAATATATAGTGAGCATTCAATTACTTAAACTGATGAAAAAGGTCTCCTGTGATATTTCCGGATATATGAGAATGGAAATGTAGCAAAACAAGAAAAAGTGAAGTTATAGGAATCAAATAAAGGGGAAATAGAAAACTGACATGGGCTTCCCCATTAAAGACTCATTGTCTTTTCTTTTGCTCCATAGAACACCACAGCTGATAGGCCATGGAAACTTGCCAACCGATTAGGAATATCAACTTCTATTCTCCGTTCATGTTGAATTTTTTGGAAGAATTGACCAGATTCAGATATTTAAAAAGTAGTTAAAATTACCATCTTTTGAGAATGCTTAATGATAATTCTAGTGCTAACCTGAGATTCCTTTATCCCTGTATAATTTTTAGCTAATTAAAAGGTCTCTACAACTACAAGTATGCACATAATCTCTGACACTGACGGAAAAACACTTTAACAATGACACACTCCGGAAAAATAAAAATAAAAATAGTATTTCTGATGAGCCCGCTCATTTTCATCATCTATTACCTTGCTTCCAAGGATTGAAAGCATATAGTGCTATTGCCCTACTGCCGGACGTACTTCTTTGTGATACAACTGAACAGTGGGTGAGATGCAATCAAGTGGAGCAAACCTGCGAGCCCTTCATTTTCAACTTGAATTTCCAGAGATTAGAATCTTGAATCATCTCACTCTGTGTTAAACATCACACACAACAAAATGTCAGCAAATGTGAACTACAAAGCAACAAAACCTAATAATACTCAAGAAACATAAAAAGAGGTCAAACCCTCTGCATCTCGGGCTTGGACACAAAGGACTGGGCGACACTCTCCAAGCTCTCATTCAAAACCGCCGTGATGGTTAATGTGATGGCCTCCGCTTGCTTCGACGGGACCCCTTTCTCCAACCTCCTGACCTACACAAGCAAAAACACAAACACCTGTAGCGCAACCAAGACCCCCTCCCATCAATCGAACACCGATAAGGTAGCGCAGTACCAGAGCGAGCGTGTCGATAAGGCAAGCCCTACTCCCGTTGCTCTTGAAGATAGCCGCCGCAGACATCTGGATCGCGAAGTGAGAACTCGTTCGTCCGATTCGAGATCGAGGGGGATGAAAACGAAAAAAGGAATTATATTGTCGCGTCTTTCTTCTTCCTGTTGCTTAGGCCGCGAAGAGAAGGGTTTGATTTGGCTTCTTGGCCCCCTTGGGCGGTTGGGCGGTTGCTATGATGACGAAGACCGCAGAGTAGAGAGTTGGCAAGGCAAGCATCATAAGTTCATGTTCATAGCATCACACGTCTAATAATATTATTGTCATCCATTTTTAGCTTATAATAAAAAAAATAATAATACTGTCACAGTTGAACAAAGAAACTAATTAAAATAAAACATATTTCTCTATTATAATTAATTGATTGTATAAAATATTGTGGTCATATCTAATAAACATAATACAATAATTATCAACATGAATTTTTATTTTGTCATTTAAGTTGTGCACAAAACAATGTTCATAGTTGTATTAAAAAAATGTTATTATTTATTATTTTTGTTCTATGTTCTAATTATTGGATTGTAAAAAATATTGCGCTCATCTCTTATAAATACAAACAATAATTATCTACATATGGATCTTTTAGGAGATTTATATTGGCAATCCTTCTTTAATAACAATCCTATTTTAATAATTTTAATATTAGTAAGATTGATGTAAATACTCTTAACTCATCACTTAAATCTAATACTTTTTCAACTACTTTCATATAATTCATTTATCTTTCTCATCTTCCATTTCTTCTTCTCAACTTAATCGAAACATAAATCATGATCAACCAAACCCGCTCAGGGGT